TAAAAGACCTGAGGTTCCTTCCTGCTCTAAGTCTTTGATCCTTGGAGCCTAAAGAACAGGAATCTTTGTTCATACTCCCATATTGAAATCCTATTATGCATTTAATATATTCCTAAATCATAACATTTAAGAGCTGGAAGGGACCATAGAAGACATCTCATTTAGCTTCTTCAGTTTGCAGGTGAAGAAACTGAGTCCCAGAGAGCTGAAGTGATTTGCCCAAGGTCACTATTCTTGGTAGAGTTTGGATTAGATCCCAGGCATCTTGATTTTTAATCCCGTATTCTTTCCCATTGACCTCCCCAAGTGCCAAATAGTGCCTCTTCAAAACTCTTTGCCAGTTCATTTCTTCCATGAAGCCTTTTCAGTTCAGACCTACTTGACTCTGGTTACTGCACTTTAATTGTGTTTTCTTCCTGAAAACATTTTACATAATACAACTGTCCCCTTGTCCTGATCTTTGTTCCCTCCTTATGTTTGAATGCCCACATTATGCTTTCTTCCCTTGTTGCTTACTTAAAAATAGACAGATGCAAAACCCTGAAGTTCTTTTTCATTCCCTTCACACCCAACCCCACACCTTCACAACTTATTAATGAACACCTAACAGTTCAGTAGTTAAACATTGATGGAACACATTCTATATGGAGAACACTGCGTAGGTCTGTGTTGATGTACCAGAGAAATGGAGAACCTGGATTGTGCTCTACTGGGGAGATGTGACCACGTAGGAGATAAGACCAGTCCATCTCTGTATTGCAGCTGGTACAACTTACATGCATTGTGTTTGTTATTGTCTAAAGGTAGGTATTGATAACCCTTTCCCTCCCCAACATGCGTTTTCAGTGGTTTAAGGATCTCCCAGTGTGGAGACTCCCACACCCTTCATGGGTAGAGATCAATAATTTGCTTGTTAACTTATAGACTAGGAGTTGCCTAAGGCAGTGAAATGTTAAAAAACTGGTATAGTAACTGGTTACCTTTGTTTTGTGCCAGTGAACTCAAGGTCATTAATTTAACCCAGGCAGTGTGCTGGTTAAGAGAGAACTAACCTTGGGTTAGTGGCAGGGGCTGGGGAGGGGGGGCAACCCTGGGTCTGTATAGCCTACCTCCTGTATTTACCTTCTTACCTTTGTGACCATAGGTAAATGATTTGATCTCAGACACTCACTAGCTATGTGACCCTGGGCAAGTCACTTAGCCTCTGCCTCAGTTTTTTCATCTGTAACATGGGGGTAATAATAGCATCTACCTCTCAGGGTTGTTGTGAGGATAAAATGAGGTAATATTTGTAGAGCACTTAGCACAATGCCTGGCATATTGTTAAGTGCTATATGAACATAAACAACTATTGCTACTATTACTACACTTACTACACCACGACCACCACCACCACCACCACCACCACCACCACCACCATCACCACTTCCTCCTCCTCCTCCTCCTACTATACCTACTACTGCTATCTCCCACTGAGTCACATTTCTCTCATCTAAGAAATGAAGATATCAGTTAGTGCCTACCTTGATATAGTTGATTCCCCTTAGAGCTTGGTAATGTAGTTTGTATAAAAAGCACATTCCATTCATATTGTTGCTAGTATTTTATATGCTTCATTTGTAAGGGATCGTACTTAAATAAAACATACATATATGTGTTATATCCATGTGGATTGTATGCCTGTGTATGTGCCCATGTGTATATTTTCAAGGAGCTTTCTATCTTAAATTCTTTGGAGGGAGAGACTACGTACCTCTAATTTCTTTTGTATCTCTAAACTATGATTATAGCCTAGTGTTAAACGCACATAGAGACACACTCACATATATGCATATATATATATATATATATGCGTGTAATTCAAGTCATGTTCACTCACTAGTTCCTGTTAAAATACCTAATCACCTAGCCTTTTGTCATTTTAGATTTACAAATCCAGTGGGTAACAATTCCCAGAGTTCTATGTATTTGGTGTGGTTGATCTCACATCTCATTGAAGTGAGGTAGAAGAGAGAAAGCAAGTCTGATTAATTGTTAAGTCTCTCTTCTCCCTGGGAGGCAGCCTCAGAATTATGGCGAATTCAGCCTTAAATATGTTCCCATCACCAGAACTTCTCTCTGGGTGCTCCTCTCAGCTGCCATAGGTCGGATCATCACTTTTTCATGGATCACTCACGGAATCAAACCAATCAGTAGATTTCCTGAGCCTCAGTCTTTCCACTGAGCTTCAGTTGCACATCCTCAAGTCTTTTGAACATTTTAAACAGGCTGTCCCAGAGATATCTCAAATGCTGTGTGAGCAAAGTTGAATTTAATCTCTCCCCCCTAATCTTTCCCCTCTTCCAGACTTCCTCCTTATGACAAAGTCACCTCCATCCTTCCCGTCTCCTCAGTTAATAGACTCGGCATTATCCCTCTCTTCTGGATTGTTAGACCAGCTTCCTAATTGGCTCCCCCACTTCAAGTCTTTCCCACCTCCAGTCCCTCCTCCTACACACTGCCGCTAAAGTAGTTTTCCTTAAGCTCAGATTTGATCATGTGACTCCCCTATTCAGTCAACTCTGGTGGCTTCCTTTTGGGCCTCTAGGTTAAAATATAACCTTTTTTTTTTTTTTTTAGCTTTTATAGCCTTATACAACCTGTCCCTAGCCTTTCTTTTCAGTCTTATTGAGAACTATTCTTCCTCTTGTCATTCTTTGATGTAGCCAAACTGCCTATCTCTCTCTCCTTCTCAAATGACCTTCAATCTCCCATCTCCTTATTTTTTTACTGGCCATCCCATATGCCTAGAGTGTATTTTCTTCTTGTCTTCTTTCTACTACTAGGAGCACACTACTAGTATACTTACCTCAGAATATCTTATGTTTAACTACTTGGAAGATATTTCTATTTATTCACCTTATTTATGCTCCATCTACTTATATATGTACTTACTGTTTCTTCTGTTAGAATGTAAGCTTCTTGTGAGTGTAGGAATTGTTTCAATTCTTGAATTTATGTCCTTACTGCTTAGCAAAATGCCTTATATACAAAGTATTTAATACACACTTGTTGATTAATTGATTGTAATTCTCAGATTTAGTCTTGAGTCATCAGAAAGATAAACCAGAGATTTTTCTTTGGGGGTAGATAGATCTTCCAAGGAGTCCACAGATAAATTTCAAGGGTCCCATGGATGGGAACAAAACTTATATCTTTATTTCAATATAATTGGTTTCCTTTGTAATGTTGTGTATTTTATTTGATGACTACTAAAACATCATTCTGAGAAGGGGGGTCCATAGGCTTCACTAGGCTATTAGAGGGTTAAGAACCTCTGAGTTAAGACCTCATGTCAACAATATTTTTTTCCAAAAAAATTTTTTTGTTTTAATATATTTTTATTTCATTAAATATTTCCCATTACATTTTAAATTACTTAAACATTTATTTTAAAAAATTGCATTTCAAATTCTTTTTTCCTGCCCCTCCCCCACACCTTGAGAAGTTAAATAGTATGTTGATTATACATATGAAGTCATGCAAAACATATTTCCATATTAACCAAATTGCAAAAGAAAACAACTCCTCCCCCAGTTTTTTAAAAAGTATGCTTCAGTCTGCACACAGAGTTCATCAGTCCTCTCTGTGGAGGTGGATAGCAATTCAAAAAGCCTAAAATCTCACTCAAGTTGTCTTCAGCTACCTGAAAAATGTGTCAAATTCATTTAGATTCTTTTCTTGTTTTTGATGATATTTGTAAAGCATTTAGTTATGTGCCTTGCATGTAATAGGCACTTAATTTTTTTCTTTTTATGGAGAGTAGGATAGTTAGGGAATGATTGCTGGAAGAGAAAGAAACAATAATCATTTCCCTCCTGCCATGATGCAAATGATCGCTGGACTAGAATCTAGGAGACCTGCATTACCCTACTAACTAGATGTTGTTTTTCTGTCTCTGGGCCTAGTTTCCTGTAAAATGAGGGGGTTAGACTACATGAGACGAGTAAGTTCATTTACAGTAGCCCTAAACTTAAGAATGACATAACATGCTTTGGTTTCCTGTACTGCTTTGGAGGAACATGATTACAGGAGTAATGGTGGTATTTTAAGTTGAATTGACACTTGCCTAAAGACTGATCACATTGGTAGTAGGAACCCACATCAGTAAGTATTAAGTGTGTGTGGCCTTATTTTTTGAACTGCAATCTCAAATTCACTGTATTTTGATAAGTCACTGAGGAACAAGGTTGATAGAGAATATGAGGTTGGTTCATTTACCAAGTATTCTTATTCCGTGGGTCAGAACCTTAAATTGGATCTTGCACTAGATTTGTAATTCTTGTAAGCAGTGGAGAAAAAATGCTTGGCTTATTAATGATTGACTCCATTGGTGAGATTTATTGCTTAGAGTTTTAGACATTAAAGGGAACTTGACCCTTCTCCTGCTTTTTTGGTAGCACCCTGGGGTCTTGAGTTTCCTCAAGGGGTACCATAAAATTGTCTAATGGAATATTTAAGTGATTTATAGTTCATTTTAAAACATGATGGTATATCAAATTTCATAGTTATAAACTGTGAAATCAGACACAATAGCCCTTAATTCTGAAAAGGTTGGGAATCACTTGGTTAAGTAAACCACATATCTTCAGTCTGTCTGTATCCTGTTTTAGACATAAACTATTTGTTAGTACAAAATAGTCAAAGTTAGCAAACCATGAGTATAGCATTCTCAAATCTACTATTATCTAATTAAGAAACCATTAAGCCATGTAAACTATAATAGCTCAGTTTATCCTTCTGTAAAGTGGGATTAAATTCAGCTACCCACTTACCTCATTAGTTAGGGTGTAAAGATTAATGATGCAACTTTGTAAGGCATTTTTAGATCCTCACATAAAGAAAGGTTATAGAAGTGCATAGTATTTGGGGGTATGAAGCTTTCTTAGGAAGTGGTTATTTTTTTTTAAAACTCATACCAAGTAGCCTAATTGTATGATTTTTTTTTTTAATCTCTACAGACTGAAATCGCCAAGAGATTGAATACAATTTGTGCACAAGTCATCCCATTTCTGTCTCAGGAAGTAAGTAAAACTGTTCAGCTGTTAAAGTGCAATTATGTTGCTTCTCTGTTTGCAAATTAGCTAGTTTTAAGATGTTAATTTTATCACAACGCACAAGTGTGAAGAACATCTGTTACAGCTGAAGTGTGCAAACCCCCTGCTATTCGGTTGAACAGATCTGAGGGCAAGCTGCAGAACTGGCAACAATAGCTCAACTTCAAATTAATTCTTTTCAGAAGAAAACTGCAAAATGACTATCAAGATAAACCTTTTGTTTTGTTTTTTTTTTTGAGCTGCAGTAGTAACTCCTGATCACTCACATGCTCCTCATTTTTTTAAATTAAAACAAAAGTTTGTCCTGTAATGTTAGCTCTAAAAGCCATTTTTTTCCTGCATCTGTAGGAAGTAAATACACATTTTACTAGATCCCAGGGTAAATCTTAAATGTTAGGAGGCATAATGCATCTGAGATCATAATAGCAACTCACTTTTATGTAGTTGTACTCTTGACAAGTTAAATTCAAAACTATCATGTGAAAAATACTGGGCCTGAAGGTGCTTTGAAAGTATATATAGGGCAGCTAGGTGGCGCAATGAATAGAGCACTGGTGAGTTCAAATCAGGCTCAGATATTTACTAGCTTTGTGATCCTGGGCAAGTCACTTAAAATCCTGATTGGCTCCAAAAGAAAAAAAAAGTCTCTATTGATACTTGCAAACAACAAGTATTGTAGAAAGAGTACTGGGTTTGGAGTCAGAGGGCCTGATTCAATTCTTGCCTCTGCCTTTCTGACCTTGGGAAGTCACTTCACCTCTGGCCTCGGTTTGCCAGAAGGAAGTTGCATTGGATGAAGAAGGTCCAATATGATTTTTAAATTAAGGTTTAGGGTGGGTAACTATCTAGACAAGTATCTTCCTAAGTAATAGGTCTTTATGGATGACACCCATTGACTTAATATAGACGAGCTTTTTGTTTGGCATCCTATATACTTGCCTTTTTAATCTGGTGATGTTTAAAAAAAAAACAAAGCATGCCTAAATTCAGGTCCTCCATCTATTGTTAACCATACAGCCTTGATTGAATCCCACAGTGTCTGGGGATATGAGTTTTCTTATCCCTAAAATGGGAGATTTGAACTAACTGATTTCTTCCCAGTTCCGAAAGTTTTGTAATGCTAGAACTTTTAAGTGGGGCTGTTTGCTAAAAATGAGACTTGGTCATTGCTTCTCAGTCCTCCCCATCTCCCTTTTCCCCCCTTCCTCTAGATTTTAAGTGATACTCTTGAGGATAATGTGGTATATTCCCTAAATTAAAATGGTTATGGGAGTAGAGATAGACATCTAGTTATCCTCTTATGGAGATTGGGGGTGGTGGGAGGGAAATAAGAATGAGAAGAAAATCCAAATAAGGTAACTTATTAAAGCTGGAGGTAGATTAAGAATTGTTAGAACATATTGCTCTAGGCTTTACTTCTTTATCTTTGAAGAGTTAATTTTGCTCTTTTAAAAACTGCTTCTTGGGGCAGCTAGGTGGCACAGTGGATAGAGCACCAGCCCTGGATTCAGGAGGATCTGAGTTCAATTCGGCCCTAGACACATAACACTAACTGTGTGACCCTGGGCAAGTCACTTAACCCCATTGCCTAACCAAAAAACAAACAAACCAAAAAAAAACCAACTTCTTGTCTTCAAGTCTTTACGGTAAAACTCACTATGTGAGTGGGTCATTTTTACATTTCCTTTGCCCAATGCTTCATACACATTTTGTGTTTATGTAGTTTATTTTAGGGCCTCAGAATATTCTTGCTTTGGAGAAACTCAAGAGTTAGAAAAGAGTGCAAGAGGTTACTAGGTGGCATAGTGGATAGAGTGTTGGACTTGGAGTCAGGAAGACATGAGTTCAAATCTTGCCTTAGACATTTACTGTCTCTTTTACTTTGAGCAGTTCACTTAACTTTTGTCTGTCTCAGTTTCCTCATCTGTAAAATAGGTTTAATAACAGCATCTACCTCTCCCCCACCCCACCCTCCAGGTTGTTGTGAAGATCAAATGAAGTTACACATATAAAGCGCTTTGCAGACCTTAAAGCACTGTATAGATGCTAGTAATCATCATTACCGCCATTATCATCATCATCTAGTCCAACCTAAACAAGAATCCTTTCGGTGATATCCCCCCAAAGTGGTCATCTATCTAGCCTGTGCTCTAGTGCAGGGCTTCTTAAACTTTTTCTATTCCCAGCAGCTTTGGCCCCTTTTCCATTTCAGCAGCATTTCATTTTTTTGGCATTGCCATGGTCTGGGGGACATACACAGCACAAAGTGCGCGTGCTTTGTGTTCAGAACCAAGGCTGCAGTGAGATTGCATGATGCAACACAGGCAACCCCGCCAGAAACACTTTGGATTAGTTATGCGTTTGATTTTAAATTAATTTTTGGTTGTGCATTCAGAAACCCTTTACTGTTGCCAAAATTTTTGTGACAGGGTCGCAACCCACAGTTTAAGAAGTGCTGCTCTAGTGAGGGAGGGGTGAAGCCCACTATTTCCAGAAGTAACCAATTCCACTTTAGCATAGCTCTTATTGTTAAGGAAATTTTCTTTTCATTGAATCCGAGTCTGTGTCCTTGCAACTTCCAACCATTTTTGCTTTTTGGGACCAAACACTACTCCATTTTTATAACACACCCCTTCAAGTGCACAAAGACATCTATCATGTCCTCTCTTTAAGTTGTCTATTCTCTGGGCTCAACATCCCCCGTTCTTTTTATTCACCATCATATAGCACAATCTTGAAACCTGTTAGCTTTGTGAATTTTTCCAGGTTGTCAATGTCCTTAAAGTACCCCTTACTGAAAACACTATGAGAAATTCACCTCCATATGCATAGGAGCTATGCCTTTATTAGCGTAGCCTAAGATGAAATTAGCTTTTTTTCATTCTTTTAATTTATAATCAACCTTTAGTTCATTCATTAAAATCATATCTTTTTTTTCTAATGAATTGCTGTCTTAGCCATACCTCCTCTCCGTTTTGTACTTGTGAAGTTAATTTTTTGAGCCCAGGTGTAGGATTTTACATTTATGTCTTGAAATTTCATCATAGTTGATTCATTCTTGGTGTTCTAGCATCTTTCTCACATATTGATCTAAAAAAATCACAAACAGTCATCAGAGAACTTGGTGCCCCCAGATATTGGTGAAATACAGAGCTCTTAAAATAGTCATTTTTAGTTTCCCTCTGCCTAATGCTTTGCATTTATTTTCATGTTATTAAAGCGTACAGGTTTGGGAGCCTATGAGGATGGTGGGTTCATTTAAAACCTTTGTCTTTACTCTGGACTATGTTTAGCAAGTGTTTCTTGTTTACTTTCCCCATGCTTAAAGGTTTTAGGAAGGAACGAGTAGAGTTCTTATCTTACTTATCTCCTTACCTTAACTTGGCTTAACTCCTTGCCTTCTCTCCTTACTTCCAAAGCATCAGCAGCAAGTGGCTCAAGCAGTTGAACGTGCCAAGCAAGTGACCATGGCTGAGTTGAATGCCATCATCGGGGTACGTGGTCTTCCAGGGCTCCCTCCTACAGTGTGTATAACCAGCTTTCATTTCTTATTGATTGCTAGTTGACCATAAAGATATTTTTGATGTCTGATGTTATTGTGTAGATGATGTGTATTTTTATAGACTTGTATTTTTGGTGGAGGAAGGGGAGGGGAAAGAAAACTTTTATTTTGCATTGGGACGATAAATGTGGTTTGTTTCCCTGCTCCCAAGCAGGCATTCATTGCATTAGCAATAACAAGACTTTTAGTATTGCATTAGTTAAACAAAAGCTTCTAGATTGGTAGCCTTCTAAATGTTTTTCTTTCCCTTCCTCCTATGGCATGGGATCAGTGAGGCTAAGGCTGAGCTTTATATTGCTTCAGTTCATTTAGTTATCTTTGCTTTTGCCTTCTGCTTTTCAAAGTACTTGGAACCTGTATAACTATTCACCCTTCTTCCTCTTTCTTTCTTGTACAACTTTCATGAATTTTAAAGGGGCTCACCAGTGAAAAGAAATTTCTATTGCTTTTGAAGAAGTGTTAATTGTCTGACACAGTGTTGTAATAGCCTTTCACCAAGTTTTTGATTTTAAATATGCTGAGATCAGTTAATACTCTTTGCTTGTGACTGGTTGTCAATCACAGGTCATTGACTGTGCATTAATGAACTTGGTGAACCGTGCATTCCTTCCACTGCATGAGTCCATCCCCCCTACCCCCCACCCGACACAGAGTCTCCAGAATGTTTCTCATGTTTTCTGCCCTTCCAGTCTAAGTGAAAGAAGTAGCCGAAACAAGGAGCCGTCCTTTCTGATTTTATTCATATTGTGAGCGCCCCGAGCGGATTCAAATTACTCATTTATCAATTTATGTTAATTGCTTGTGAGAAGATGCCCTGCTGGTCTTTATGGTTCCCTCAGACACTTTGTAATGATAATTAGACATGCTGCTCTACGGATTAGCAGTGCCATAGTCCAATGACGTCTGCAGACAATGGGACCAGTTGATCCATCTGTGCTTAAAATTACATCCCAACTGGAGATGGAGAAAAAACATAAGAGCCAGGGAGGATTAAAAGAATGAGCCTCAGCTTGAAAAATTCTCCTTTCATCAGTTTCTCAATTGCAGATCTGCAGTCAGTTTGCCCGTGGTAAGCTATTGGCAGTCAATTAGGTGAAATAAACTGGGAGGGTGACCTTCATTCCCTTTTAATAGCTTTTTCCTCCCTGAAATGGGGAGCTTCAGTGGATTTTCAGCTTAAATTTTATTCAAGCTGCTTTATTACACTTGACAGCTTAGCTCTGCATAAACATTCCCCCCTTCCCCCAAATCCAAGCCCTGCTTCCCCCCCCCCCCCCCCCCCCCGCCCCAGTATCACATTTTGACTGTTACTTAGTCGCCTCTCTAATCACATTCAACAAAAAAACACAATTACATCTACATTTGTCTGCAACCTTCTGTACCTTTTTCTTGGGGAATGAATGAATTGCTTTATTCTGGAGTTCAAATCAGATATTCATATGGAGCTCTACTATGTACAGTGTTTGATTTGGAGAGGTAATAAGCAGGTATATAGTGCCTACTATGTGCCAGGTATTAAGCTAAGCCCTTTACACATATTATCTCAAAGAATAATAGTGAATTCTACTTGTAGTTTGATCACAACTTCTTTCCCCCCCCAAAAAAAAGAATAAGAATTTATTTTGATTAAAACAAAATATAGGCAAGGAATTCCCCAAGTATGGAGTTTATCACACTGGTTTTCCTATAAGTTCTATATGTTTCATCATAATTTATTAATAGTAACATTTTATAATAGATTCTTAGACTTATTGAATCTCCTTTTATTTCAAGCTCAGAAAAAAATAGTTGAAAATCTTGAGCTTTCCTACCTCCACACAAAAAAGACCAGTGTCAGGAGTTCTTTTAGAAGTGGGGGCTTAATAGTTACCTGAATTATTTTGTTCTGGAAAACTTAATGTTTCATTAATACAGAGTATGATAGCACAGCAGAAAAGCTAGATCAGTTAAGTGTAGGCCATACACAAGACTTCTGACAGCCAGTTGTCTTCAACACACTTAGCAATATAATTTTTTATAACTGATCATTTTAAGTATTTATTAATTTGTCAGAGAGATCTTTTTATAGTTGGATGTGATCAATAATCATCCTATCTGAAACTGTAAGTTTCATGCTCTGACATATGCTTGATTTTACTTGAAAGGGATTGTGTGCATCCTGGAAAATCGGAGTAGCATAAAATTGGGTTGACAATTCAGTAGACCTTTGCACCCCATTCATTGAACATGCAGTGTGTCAACCTGTCTCCCCAGAGGGGAAGAGGCATCAGGAGGCTGTCTGTTCCTACAAGCAGCAGCTGTACACCAAAGTAAATGCAGCCTGGTTTGATAGCAGCTGTCAGTATTGTTCAGAGACCTGACTTAGTGAAAAGAACAATAGAAGAGGCCATGCCCTTAAACTGCATCGTCTTTCAGGCTAAGAAAAGAAATAGTAATTTAACGGTTTAGACATCTATTACAAGTGTGAAAGATCATGAAAGAGTCCTCTTTAAAATGCAAATGAGGAGAAAATTCTCAGTTTAAGGTACAGTCAAAGAACTTAGTGCTCAGTAGTGCTGAGGATGTTACTCTAAGATAAACTTGAGGGTGGGGGAGTTGGAAAAAAAGGTTAGGTTTTCTTAACAATAGAAAACTTACCCTGGTTAAGCATCAGTGTATTCTTGTGTTCTTAATACTTGGATCTGAAACTGGGCAATCTGGAGAGAAGGGAAGTTTTAAAATTTTTCTTATTAGATGATTCAAAATACTGTTAATTTCTCATAGAAATAAACTCAGTTCTTGTAGCTAGAACAATTTTGTTAATTTGTTTCTCTCCTGTTGTTAGCCTTTTCTCACCCCTGTTGAGAGGGGGAGAGAGAGAGAGAGAGAGACTGACTCTTGAAATTTTATATTCAGGACTTTGTTTTTCTGTTTTTGGCTTTGACTATTTCAGTGGTGAAGGAGAGAAAGCAAATTTGATGGCTTCAGTAGAATAATGATTGCATGTTTACCTGTTGAATGCTGCTTTTTAAAAGCTATTTGTTATTAAGTGGGTTGTGTTCTTGTAACCATAAAAAGGCTATTTAATAATACAGAGTACTTAATGAACTCAGGGTTTGGTCTGGTTTGACACAAAAACCACCAGGGCTTTGGAAGAACAAGATGAGCTGAGGGAAATGAATATATATGAATGTGAGCATTTGAGTATCAGATTTCTACAGGCAGTCCTTACACTTAGTGGGCTATTATTCCTGGAAAAACTGCTTTTAAGCTTGACGTAAGTCAAATCTAAATTTTTCCATAGAAGCAGTAGTAGGATGGAGGTTATATACCTATGTACCTGACTGATGTTCAATTCTTTATAAAATGGCTACAGACATAAAAAAGGGAAGATGAGTTATGTAAAAAGATGAGAGCTGTACTTGGAGTCAGGAAGACCCAAATTCAGCCTCAAACATTTATGATCTTTATAAGCCTGAGCAAATTTAACCTCTCTTATCTTTGGTTTCTTTATTTGTGAATGGAGAGTATTAATAGCACTGTCTTCACAGGGTTGTAAGGATCAAATAAGATAATATATGCAAAATTCTTTTCAAACCTTAAAGCAAAATATTACATTGTTTAATCTGAGGTGTAACCAAAAATTTTTGCACCTGGGCCAAGGAGTAATAAACGGGTCCTCCATTGGAGGATAGGGAGGCAGTAGAGAAGGCTGGGCAGGGGAGGAGCTCACCTGAGTCTGCCATGTGGTACCTTCTTTTTAAACTAATTGTTTTTGCTAATTAGCTGCTAAGCTCTGTTTTTATGTTGCTGAAGAACTTCGAATTTCAGTCCTCCCTAAATTTGGTGTGCTGGGAGAAGTGACAGTCACCCTTCACTTAGTCATCTCTGTGGCTTTAGCCCACCTTGCTTTATGATGTGTGCAAGTCATGTCCAAACTTCATCTTCCCTGACTGTGGTAAGGCATGGCTCTTGAATCAAGAGACCTGTGTTTAAATTCCATCACTGACTTTAGCCTGTGTGGCAAGGAGGAAGTCATTTCAACTCCCTGAGTCTGTTTTCTCATCTGATAAAACAGAGATAATAATATTTGTACTACCTACTTCCAAGGATCCTTGTGAAGAGCACTTTTTAAACCTTCAGTGATATACAAATATAAGTTTAATGTGAAATTTTAATGTCACTTATATTTTGACTAGTTAACTAGCATTGGACCATCCCATCCTAGTGATTATCACCTCATTATTCAATCTGCCTTTTCACCTTTCCCCACACTTTTCCAATCAGACAATCCCATTTTCAGGGTTTTGTCCTCATTTCTTTTTTTTTTTTTTTTTCTTTTAAGCACCCTTAGCTATTCCTGTCCTTGGAATATCCAACTCAGCCTCAGCTGATACAGCTCTGCTGAGTATTAGCAAGGGTTACCATAATAAATATTTTTAAAAGTCATATTAATAAGAATAATTGGCTTCTGTGATTAAAGTACTGTCCAAGTTGGTCAAAGACTGACTGGTTGGCAATTCTTCCCCTCCCTCATTATGCCCTTGTTGTTACTTCCCTATATATTTCACCTTTTGTAGTATGTTGTCTGGATACTAACTTTCCCAGTAATGTATTTTACCTAATTGCTTCTACAATTACAATTCTACAATTGTTATATTTATATTATACATCTTCCAATCTGTGAATTTAAAAAATTGTTGTCTTTAAATATAATTGGTTTCCTTTATGATCATATGTATTATATTTTAGGCATTTAAAAATCTTTGGAGGGGCAGCTAGGTGGTGCAGTGGATAGAGCACAGGCCCTGGAGTCAGGAGGACCTGAGTTCAAATGTGACCTCAGACCAAACACTTATATTTACTAGCTCTGTGACCCTGGGCAAGTCACTTAACTCAAATTGCCTAAAAATTAAAAAAAAAAAAATCTTTGGAAAAATGGCCCATGGACTTCACCTGATTGCAAAAGGGGTCCATGACACA